ATAATGAATAATAATTTGAGAGTGAAAATTATATATAATTTTATTGTACGCAACCTCATTTGAAAAATATGCCTCTATATACTTTAATTTTTGCGAAACTCCCCAAAAAATGACAGATATACACAAGTCACCGCAGTTTCCAGCTGGAATGAACACTAGTGGCAGTAAAACACTAACAACATTCATTCCTTTTCACACAAATTATGATTAAAGGGGCAGAGTATTGATTATTAAAGACATATATTGGCATTTCTGATAGTAAACTTGCTCAGTAGCGCACCCGGTACAGCACTGCACTTGTGATGTGAAGCGCTTGTACAAACCTTTTGAAACATGAGTCACGATAAAAGAGCTCAAAGACTCACAGAAACAAGCTAAAATGGCATGGTTGCTTCAGCGAATGTGATTTATCTCATGTTTGCTTCTGTTAAAACTGATCACATTTAGTGTATGCGATACATCATTTTTTAAAGTTTAAATGCATTAACCTTTTAGCGCCACCAGATGTTTCTTTCCCAGACTGATGCAATACGTACGACAACCAGCGTAATAAAATGTTGCCAGATTCAAGTTCGTTTATTTCAGATAAAGCTAAATGCACTTTTAGCGGCACTCACTGGACATTTCACTTTTAAAAGTGTCACGAAAAATGCAAGAAGCAACATAATATCATTTTGCAGTTAGTCAAAAGAGTCTAAACATTTTTAAAAATGTCATTTTAAACACAATACATCATTTGAGATGTGCTGGAAATGTGTGGGAATTAAAAAAATGCCAGAATTCTCTGTTAATTGACAAATTACAGATAGTAAGAATGTAAGAGTTTTCTTCTCTAAATGTCCACAGAGTCCAAAGTAACATCTAGTGGTGTTTTGAAGTGTTTTATCACAGTGTTTTAGTGTCATCCAGCATGTCCTTGACCTTCTTCAGGAGTGTGATCGGTTCACAGGCCACATTAACTCCTGCGGAGTCACAATCACTGGAGCTGCTCCAAAATTCCTTGAAAGCAAGTTAAACAAAGCTCAGGCCGGCCGGGTCGAGGGTGACTCAGAGCGCCTCTGGCCTTCACAATGGGCACAGAGCGGTAAACATCCCAAAGAGATGGAGCCAGCATATCTACCCCAAACCAAACATTACAGACAGAGTGCTGACCGAGATCCAAAGTCAAATACTGTACGGTGCCTTCATATAAATCTGTTCCATTTATATTTATTCATCTTTCATAGGAACTCAGGACTGCTGTCCTCTTCAGGTCCCATTATCTGTGATTCACCGTGATGTTCAGGTGAACTAATCGCACGGAGGAAACACCGGATTCTGTTTTAACTCAAAAATAGATGGCTAACAATGCAGGTGATAACAGAAGGTCACAAGATGATGGACGGACGCAGATTTCACATCAGTCTTGTGACTCCACTGGAAGGAACATGCAGTCATCGCTGTAGAAAACGTTGAGTTATATGTGTGAAAATATATGAGCAGAGAGCTTTTGGCCATTCATTCAGCTGGTTGGTGTGGTAGAGATGGTCCAGAGAGGGGCCGTAGGGTCGGTGATGTATTTTTGTAAGTTATCACAGATATGTTCCTGCGCCTGGCAGGAAGAGAGAGAGGGCCGCAAACAGGACGGACTGGAATGTGCTTCCTGCTGGCCAATGGAGCTGGACAGGGCAGATTTCGTGTACCATAGCTGACTCACACACACACACACACACACACACACACACACTAAAATAAAATATATAAAAATACCTATAACATAAGCAATTCTTAACCTTATCTTATTTCAGCTAGTTCCCAAAGCAAAATTTCTCATTTTCATTTTAGCTTAATTTGAAAACTGAAATAAAAAATAAATAAAACTATATAGACATAAAAAACGAATCAAAATGACAACAGAAACACAAAAAATTACTAAAACTTTAAAATTAACATGAAAACTGAAAATACAAAAATAAAAACTTAAAAAATGTAAAAGTATCTCAGTGATACTAAAATAACACTGATTTTTTACAACCTGTTTATTATTTATTTATTAAAAAAAACATTATCAAATAATATATATATATATATATATAAAAGTCAAACTTATTTTGACAAAACATTTATCATTTTCATTTTATTTGAACTTACTCTACTAAAATAACTAAAACTGAAAAATAAAATGAATAAATACAATGTAAACATTAAAAAACTAACCAAAATGTCAAAAACAACTAGATTCACTGAAACTTATATTAACTAATATTAATATTAAAATGACCAATATAAAAGTAAAACAGTAAAAAACAAACAAAAAAACAATCAAAACCCAATATACAAAAAAAGCTGTTTTGAAACTTTACTAAAATAACTAAAACTAAAACAGAAATAAAATTTATAGAAAGTATATAGACATTTAAAAATAATAAAAATGACAAGCACACAACAAAATTACAAAAAAAAACCTTTAATTAAAATGAAAATGAAAGCAAATCTGATCATCAGGTGCACATACAAAACTATCAACACCCCATATATGAGGTAAAAAAGAAGAATTTACATCATTAATGAGATTATAATAGGCATATTTTAGGTGGTGGGTAGAAAAAATGATACTTCTAAAATATATTACAATATTTTCTTCAAATACACTTATATATCAAAATTATATTCTTGAAATAAAAAAATAATACAAAATATTTAAATAATTTAAAATGTAAATAATATATGCAATAGTACACATGGAAAGTTTTAAATTTTTTTTGACTTGCAAGCGAATCATCATATTTAGGGTGTCTATGGCATCAAAAAGCTGCTGTAACCCTCACTAAACTGTGTTGATGCCTCACATGTAGAGTCCATTCAGTAAGCACTTCTGCAAGTGAACAGCAATCCAAAGAAACACAGATCAATGTGTTAGTCCTTTAGTCCTTCACTCGTTCCTTGATGGATTCAATGAAACATTTAAAGTAAATGAAGGAGAGGAAGATGATTAAATCTGAGCGATGAACATCTTACGTAAGCGGTCGCAGACCTGCATCTCAAAACATGATTACTGCTGGCTATAGGTGAGCAAACAGACTCGGTTCATGACTTGAGATATGAAATTATCATTGCATGTCCTTGTAAGCTTCCTGATGAAATGATGAGGAGCTCTGAGCACACAACAGGACGGGTCTGTCTGTGTGTCTGTGTGCTGTAGCATGAGTCATCAGGCCCCGCCGCTCTGCAGGGCAACTTCACAAACAAAGGCACAGTCATTGAACAATGTCTAATGCTATTCTAATAAAACCGGCTTTGGTAAACAACCTCGTACCTTTTAAGAAGATTGAATGTCATTGATTCTCCTCGCTCCATTAGAAGAATAACAACCTCCTGTGCCCTTAAAAAAAACTTTTTGGACACAAATACATGACTAATATGCTTTTTTTGTGTGTTTTCAGGGAAAAACTGTTAAGACGAGTCATTTGGAAATTGCGTGTTTTGGTGCAGGTGGACACTTTAAATTGAGTTTTAATCTCTAACACTGTCAGAAGCTTTTAAAGACTGCTCCTGACGCTGATTGGTCAAAGCACTATCCCAGCTGTGCTATAATGGAAACAAATGTTGAGATTGTAGGTTATTTTGCTTCCATAACGTCATACTAGTGGAACGAAAGCATACAAAATACACATTTAAATGTGAAAAAAAAAAAAATCTGTCATCATTCACTCGTCCTCATGTCATTCAAAACCTGTATGGATTGCTTTCTTCTGTCGAACACAGAAAAATATATTTTGAAGAATATGACGGTAGCCATTTATTTCCTTTACTATGGAAGTCAATTGGGACCAAAAGCTGTTGGTTACCAACATATCTTCTTTTGTGTTTAGCAGAAGATTTGGACGAATTATTCCTCTAAGTGTTTATTTTGTTACATTTTATCTATTTGATTTTGTAGATTTCAATTACAATACACCTTTAAAAGGCCATTTTCAAAAAAAAATAAAAATAATAATAATAAAAATTAAAAAAACACTTTGGTAGCACTTACATACCATAACAGATGTATTCCTATCTATGTTCTAAAGATTTATACTGAGTGGTTTGTTCATATATCATTCACACTGATTTATAACATTTTATTCCTAAAAAACATGCTGATTTTTTTTCCTCTTTTGTATATTTTCCCCGTCTGTTGGCTTGGAGCTCATGTGCGTTCTCGAGGATTCCTCAGTAAATCAGCCCTGTTATGACGTCATTTCCCTGTGGCTCCAGAATAATCAGTCACATGGCATTTATGGTGCATTTCTGTAACGTGATTCATGTGCCGTTTGGATTAGTTTAATGATTAGTAGATACTCTCTAGAGTCTACTCTTAAAGGGGTCATATGATGCGATTTCAATTGTTCCTTTCTCTTTGGAGTGTTACAAGCTCTTGGTGCATAAAGAAGATCTGTAAAGTTGCAAAGACTAAAGTCTTAAATCCAAAGAGATATTCTTTATAAAAGCTAAGAGTCAGCCACGCCTACCTAAAACGGCTCGTTCTAACACACCCCCACATATCTACGTCACTATGTGGGAAGATTTGCATAACGCCGCCCAAATGTCAATGCAAAGAAAGAAGGCGTAACTTTTATTCTCGCTGTTGTTATTGTTGACGCTGCAGCCATGTCGTGAAGACACTGTGCTTCGTTGTGAAAGCGAAACTACTTTGTTTGGCCTTCCAAAAGAGGACGATGTCGCTTCGTCATGCCTAAACAATAATGTACAGTATGTTGAAAATAATGTGTTTTTTGAACCTTAAACCGCATAAACACATTTCATTACACCAAATACACAAAATAAAGTTATTTTTAGCAGCATCATATGACCCCTTTAAAAATAAAGGCTCTTCTATTGGCGTCGATGGTTCATTGAAGAACCTTTAACATCCATGGAAACTTTCCATTGCACAAAAGGTTCTTTACAGTGAAAGAAGGTTCTTTAGATTAGAAAAGAACCCAAAAATCACGGCAAGAACCCATTTTTGAACCTTTATTTTTAAGTGTTGATTAGGGGTTAAAAAGAAAGACATTTTAAGAATGCAGCTCTCAACATTGCAAAGGTTTATTACTACATACAGCAGCGTGAAGAAGTTCTTCACACAGTCGCAACGCTTCTCGCGCCCTCTCGCGCTTCGAACGAGCACGCAATCACATCCTGGCATCTCAGAAGCGCCTCCCTCTGAACCCCGAGAGGAGTCTCCAGGTCAGACACCTGCAGGGTCAGCACGTCTATGTCCGAGGCGCCGAACCTCGCGTGCACGCGCACGTGCTCGTGCATGTCGAACCGGACTCGTTTGCCCGTCATCAGTAAGAGCGTCCGCAGAAACCTCTCGCGCAGCTCCGCCCGCAGCCGCTGCTCCTCTTCATCTGCGCTTCCCGAGGAGGAGGAGGAGGAGGAGGGAACGGTTGTGGGACAGAGAGCGACGAAGCGGGGAGAGTTCGGGTCGAAACCTCGGCTGTTCGGGTCCGGTCCTCTGGGCAGCCGCAGGACGCTCACTGGAGTTTTCATACTGCTCCTTTAAATCAGACACACATCACGAACTTTCATGTTGCAATGCTGCTCTTATACAACGGATATAAAGTGACAAGTGTTTACGCACCTCATTCAGCACGCGTCTGAATGTCCGACCGGAAGAGCGTTTTGTTTTTCAAAATAAGAGTCTTCAAGCGAGGTTAAAAAAAAAGTCATTCAGCAAAGATGCGTTATATATTGATCAAAAGGGACATTTATAATGCTAAAACATATTTCCGTTTCAAATAAATGCTGTTCTTTTGAACTTTCCATTCATCGAAGTATCCTGAAAAAAAAATGTGTCACGGTTTCTGCAAAAATATTGATTGTTTTCACCAGTGATAATAAGAACCTATCTTTTTGTTTTTACTAAGCACCAACAATAATTGAGCAGCAAATCAGCATATTCGAATGATTTCTGAAGGATCATGCGACACTGAAGACTGGAGTAATGATACTGGAAATTCGGCTTTGAAAATTACATTTTAGAAAACTTAAATTTTAGTGATATTTTACAATATTATTGAAAATTTAAATGACACCGATATGACTTTGTTGCATTAAAAATCAAACAAATTTAGGTATAAATACCAATAGCTGGGTCAAAACAACCCAACCGGTGGGTCACAACAACCCAATAGCTGGGTCAAAACAACCCAACCGGTGGGTCACAACAACCCAATAGCTGGGTCAAAACAACCCAACCGGTGGGTCACAACAACCCAATAGCTGGGTCAAAACAACCCAACCGGTGGGTCAAAACAACCCAATAGCTGGGTTTGTCCCTTTTTAACCCAGCATTTTTTAGAGTGTGTAAGGAGCAGTGAGCCGTAAAAACCACACACAGTCGAAGCACACTTTTGTACCTTATTTACCCCTAAATGGTGTGTGTTAGTACCTTAAGTGTACATATTAGTACCTTTTGAAAGGGTAGCTACCGCCACAGTGACAGCTTTTGCACTTTTTTTTTTTAGCTACAGCTTAAAATGATGCCCTTAGAGCAAAAATGTAGGTTATCCACCATGGCATAACATGAATGATATGAATGATTTTTGAGTGCATATTAATTTAGTAACTGGAACATGCAAAATCTTCCCACAGCTGAATCATTTTTTAGACTCTACAGACTCTGTATGTATGTTTGAAATCTCGACCGCACCCATTTCTCATAACTGAGGGGAAGCCCAGCAAACTATATAGACCAAGTGTGAATGGAAACTGCTACTCCCGTAGTTTCAATATACTGTAGTCAGGCCAGACTGTCAATAGTAAGTCCAAATGTAAGTCAAAGTTACACTAATTTCTTTCTTCACTTCCTGTCTTCCTATTCTTTTATTATGATTATTTGTAAGAACGGACATAAGTTGTGTTGGTTTGCATAATGGTGCATCATTTCCGATCGCATGAACTTCCTCAAACATGTCATGCTGATCTTCTGCACTGCAGCAGTGCCCTCAGATGACCTGCACTCTCTTTTCATCTTAAAACAACTGTAAGTACTGATCGTCTCACTCTATTCATCATCTACTGTATTAATAATGCTTTGAATATGATAGAATGATGATATTTACTTGCAGTCTACTTCATAATAATCACAAATGCACTAATATCCAGACTTAAAAAGTGAAAGTGATCCAAGGGATAAAGTGGAAGCGATATTAACTTTAAGCAGATGACAGTGTGCATGTCATGGAATGTTTTTTTTTTCTGTTGTATGAGAGTTACTTTTGTGTATACATGAGATGTAGTGTGCGATACAGTATTTATGTTTAAATATTGACTGCGTATGTGCCTGCTGTAGTTTATATCCTTGAAAGGATGGAGAAGAATGGAGGAAAACCACATGAGCAGCATTATGGGTAAGTCTCTGTTGCAGTTTCATGTTGCATCGTCACTATCAAACACAAAGGAAGTTAAAGGGGTCATATGATGCGATTTCAATTTTTCCTTTCTCTACACCTTGCTTTTTCAGAACGATGTGCTTTGTAAAAATCGACGCGTTTCAGAAAGGCGGGGCATAGAGGAGAAACAATAATGTACAGTATGTGGAAAATAATGTGTTTTTTTAACTTTAAACCGCATAAACACATTTCATTACACCAAATACACAAAATAATGTTCTTTTTAGCAGCATCATATGACCCCTTTAACAATTATGTAACACAAAAAAAATAGACATTTTAATGTCGTAGCAGGACTTCAAGAAGATACTGACAGTACGACAGCAAGAAGTAAAATCAGAAGCAAATCAGCGTTTATTGTTATTCAGCCGTGATAGTCATAGTGAAACAGAATTGCTTTTGTCTAGAGGAACTGGTGCTAATTATGACATTATTTTTGAAAGCATCCTCACTTTACAGCATTTTTACAGAAGTGCCTAAAACTTCTCACAGTACTGTAGCTTTGCAGGAAGGTTTCTTCAAGCGTCTTGGAGATGTTGCCACAGTTCTTCTGGATTTAGTCTCAGTTTTTTCTGCTTCTTCATGTAATCGCAGACGGACTGGATGACGCTGAGATCAGATATCTGTGTGCAGCACTGGCTGTTGTCAGACAAAAATCTCACTGGATTATTACAATTAATGGCAAAAGGAATATTTGGAAATGTAAACTGATATTTCCTACTGACACACTACAGCAAACGATAGAAATAACTGACTTAAACCATTTTTTGTTGGTTAAAATACTAATGGCCTAGGACTTGCACAGTAGTGTATGTATATACGCACACACACACACACACACACGCACACATACACACATACACATACACACGTGTGTAGTTTAAATGTAATGTTTAGTCAAGGACTTGCACAGTAGTGTATATATATATATATATATATATCGTGCAGGACAGTCACTGCTGGCTGTTACTCGTCACTCCAAACTTTGTGAAGGATGACTGGTGCTCGTATCAGATGCACCAGGTCCTGTCTGAAGGGCCCATGTCACAGAGGATCATCCCGGCTGTAGTAAACATGCCCAGATCACAGCTCCCGCTCGAACTGCGCTTCCTTTTTACTGTGGATCTGAACACGAACAAAGAGTTCGGCTACACTCTAGTCTACAAGACGGTACTTCATTGTGAGTATTTTGCATCTAGTATAGAGTGTGTTCACGACACGTCATCAATCCGGAAGTCGGCCATATTGGTGGCAGTGAACGTAAACAATGCCATTTATCTGAATGGAACTCACAAATTTTGCTGATTACTGCTGCTGAAGATGGTCAATTATTGTCGACTATACAGTTGTATGGTCAGTTATACAAATCCGACTCTCTAACCGTATTTTATTCATGTTCATATTTTTGAACTGAATACATTTGTTTTCACAATGAACAGATGAATGCTCATTCTAAGTGATTTGAATAAATGTGTTAGAAAGTGTGATTATTTAAATACAAATTAAATAGATGCAAATAGTTAATAATAAACTATTACGCATGTACTGACAAATATGCATCACATTAAGTTTATTAGTTAGTTTATTTTAAAACTCTGTAATCCACATGGAAATGTTACATGCATTTAAAATACAGAAATTCTATCATTCACTCAAACCCATGTTGTTCCAAACCCAAATGTTAACTAAAATTAAAATGAAAACAATATAACCAATTCAAAAAATATTAATAAAAATATCACTATGATGCAAATCTGTTCTGTGAAACACAAAAGGAGAATGCCCACTCTGCTCTTTTCTGTATGATGAAATTGAATGTGATGCTGTCAGGGTCCAAACAGGCCAAAAATGTACTGTTTTTAAAAAATATGTATCCATAATCCAACTCATGCAACTTTTCAAGTCTTCTGAAGTCATAGAATAGCTTTGTGTGTACAATTTGAGTAATGTGTCACTTACTGAGATACTTACAGTATACTTACAGTATAGTGGGAAAAGGTGCTTTACTCTTCTGGCTTTGTGCAGCTGGAAAACTTCATCCCATGAAACAGAGATAAAGCCTTTTTGTTCTGTAAACCAGACTGGAATGTTTATATTTCAATCTTTCCCACACTGACTTTGCTCGACACTTGTAGATGTTTTGTTACGCCTGGAAACATAATATAGATTCTCAACAGCGTTTCTTGTTTTTTTACAGATTTGAAGGACATGTCTGAGAAGGAAAAGCCCAGCAGTGCACCTCAGTCTGACGGCTGAGAACAGACTACCAACATTCATTGTATTGACCGCAATGACAAGATTCTTCACTTCCAAGAAGTGACATCCAAGCAGCCAAGCTGTATCGTAACTCTATATGCACAGTCTCTCCGTCTAATGTCTCAGAGTTTTCAAAATTAAAATTAAAGATGAATTATGTCAAAATTGGTTCATCTAACCGTTAAAGGGATAGTTCACCCAAAAATGAAAATTCTGTCATCATTTACTCACCCTCAGGTTTTTCCAAACCTGTATGAGTTTTTTTTTCTTCTGTTGAACACAAAAGAAGTAGTGTCTTATACATATATACACACACTACCATTTAAATGTTTGGTGACAGTAAGATTTTAAAATGTTTTTCAAAGACTTCTGCTCACCAAGTCTGCATTTATTTGCCCAAAAAATACAGTGAAAATTGTAATATTGTGAAATATTATTACAATTTAAAATAACAGTTTTCTATTGTATTATATTTTAAAATGTAATTTATTCTTGTGATGCAAAGCTGAATTTTCAGCATCATCACTCCAGTCTTCAGTGTCACATTTCTTATTATTATCAGTGTTGAAAACAGTTGTGAGGTGGAAACTGTGATGCATTTTTTAAACAAGTTTGATTTAATGAATAGAAAGAACAGCTTTTATTTGAAATAGAAATCTTACAGTCACTTTTAGTCAATTGAATATGTGTCCTTGCTGATTAAAAGTAGTCATTTAAAAAAAAAATCAGTTATCTGATTTGATACTCTTTATTTGTGCTACTTGAATTGGTGTGTATAAACTATTAATATTATCAGTGCTGTTTATGAGGTTTTTGCACTGATTGTTTTGTTGAAATATGATATCATCCTCTTGTTTTCCATAGTGAGGGTGTCAACCCAGACTTTTATGAAGATATGTATATTGTGTTAAATAAATCAAGCGACCTAGATTGCAACAGAAAGTCATAATACACTATCTCAAACGCGCTGAGGCATATGTTTCCCTTTCTGATTTTAGGTCAAAGTCAGATTAGAAGAAGGGTTTATGTAAAATATAATTTTAAAATTATTCTCACTCACATACACC